TTTGCCGAGCACCTCAGCTATCTGCACCCGCAACAATTCCTAGAAACTTGGAAAGCAATTTGCGTTTCTCATGCACGCAGGTTAATTTATAGCAACCCATTCCGCATTGTTGTTGTGCTGGATTAAAAGTGCCTCTTGCATGCTAATGAAATATGCAACTAAGTGCCGCGGCTCAGGTTCCTAAGCGAGTTAATCGTCCATGAGCTAGGAATTTCTCCATGTTCCAGACTCTGAAGGGTATACTGAAGGAATGAAAGGGAAGGGACAGCGACCGGAAGTGTGGGTTATAAGGAAATGGGCGTGTCCTGTGCTTGGTCAATTTGAAATTAAATTAGCAGCATTGTTGGATTACTTTGGCGATAATTACAGTCCATCTAATTGCCAGGAAATTACACAAATTATGGGGTTTATGGTCAAGCAAAATAAACACAACACATACGTATACGTGTTTGCTAGTACTGCGAGCAAAACATATTAAATGTTATATCTATATCGTATGACTGTATGTAAAAGCACATAAAAAAAGCATTTTTAATTTATGAAGCCGCGCAAAAGTAACAGATTTTTTTGAAATTCAATTGGAACTGTGTGAGTGGTTTACTCTACAGTTAAAAAATGTATTAATTTATTTTATTACATTACTTTTCACGCAGTCACAGTTGGTTTAATTTAAACTCCAATAATATATTTCCGTTAAAATACCCATGAAATATTTTGTTATCTGATGAATGTAAAAATCATCACACACCTTTTATCTGCAGTTCAACATTCACATTTGTTGAAAGCAATAAAACCACCAAATGTATTGGCATTCCATTTCCCTTTCCTGTACTTATTATGCGGCCATGCCCCCGGTTAAGTCCCTGGTTGTCCGCACAAATGTTCCGCAATTTGTTGGCATAACGAAAACAATTCGAGTGGATCTGGATCCACAAAACTGACAAGTTTTTCTTATAGCGCACTAAAAATGAAGACACTAAAGGCAGGGCCACAAAAGCTTACCCATAGTTTGGGCCAGTTGTTGCTATTATTGTTGCTGTAATGTGGCATGTAGGAAGCAGAAGAAGTGGCACCCACGTAGGGACACACACGTAGCCACTCCATGCACAATGGCATCAAGTAAGTAATACAATAGAAAAAGCAACTCGCGTATGCGTGTATAAAACTTTATTTTTACGACAAAGTGCAAGCAGCAAAGTTGTTAGCAAAAGACTGAAAAGAAACACCAACAATAAGCAAAAGAATGGGAGAATAGATTCGGGAGCCGAATCTTTTGATACTCTTGTGGATATATTGTTGTGTCGCCTCCATATTTTATTTTCAGCTATGATCATTGGGTCTTTAATTTTTAAACAGCTAGAAATAAGAGGATAGGTGTCAGCAAGATGAAGTACCAGAAGAAAGGATAGATCGTCCAGGAGATGAAATCTATCTTTCTTTTCTGACAGATAAGCAACTATTTAAACACATAATACTCTCATTAAAGGGTATACAACTTCTCGAAGGGACATCCTGTGGCAGTTGTTGTTGCCCCGCAGTTGGATTTTAATTTTTAGCAGCGACATGAGACAAAGTTTTAACTAAAAATTGCATGCCAGAAACTTGAACAGTAGAGGAGCAGAAATTTGATTTTCATTTTTACAGCATCGCAATGTCAGGGCCCTCTTGCGGCACGTAACACGCTGCGTATACGCAATGTGCACGGAACAGTTTCAATTACAACTTCATGAAGGTGCGCCAGAGCGTGGCAATCCAATAAGAACCAACTTTGGTGTAGTTTTTGTTTTCGTTTTTGTGCCACCTATCTCACCTTACACAATTAGCCCCCGACACTTGATACCTCGATTACAACGATTTGATGGTCCATGATTAATGCGACGCCTGTCATGTTGCAACTTTCCGCAAATTTGCCTAACAAATGATCTTAGCGGTGGACACACCCGTAGAACAAGAAATAATGTATTCAACTTCATCGGAGGGCGATGGAAAAGTGAAAATGGGAAATGTCACAGTGGTCCCAGTGTCCGGAATGAGTGGAAATGAATAACAAAAGAAGGGCAAAAAAAGTTCTTTTGATAAATGTGAAGATGTGAGATATGAACAATGATGTCTATTATTGTTTTCTTTGTAAAAACCTGGCATTTATTTGTTCTGATTTCTTTTGTGTATGTTAAAATATCCCTTAAAATTGCCATTTATTTTTACTAATGTGGGAAACTTGACTGAACAATAGCAAAAGGACAATGGAATTGGTCTTTTATTCCTCTTAAAGGTTCTCTTCTGATTTTCTGATATTTTAAAGTCCTCCACAATATTTTAATCAACTTCCACGGTCTGAAATAAATTCTCGTCTAATCCATCTAACTTATTTTCTTGTTGACACATCCCTAAAATACACAAAAAGCTTCAGGACTCGTGCCAATTTATCTAATTCCGCGTGGCCTGCTAGTGCTCTGGGGGAATATTTTATATTTCTGACACAAATCGCAATCGCAACTGACACTGATCCACTGTTCGCAGATTTATCTATAAAATGTTTAAAATATTTAAGTAGCAAAAAGTTTTATGGAGCTGTGTGACAACGTCATTTTAAATTGTCTGCTTCCCCCGACAGCCGATTTCGTGTCCTCCACCGAAGTCGAAAGGAAAGTTTGTCAAACTTTTGTTTCAAAAGTCAAAGGCGCACACTTTTGATGAATGAGTTGAATGGGCAGAACCAACCCAGTAGCTGTTCTAGGAAAAGGAACAGTAGTGGGAGTAAAAGTAGAACTGGACCAGTGGTCCAGCAGTTCAGGAATCAGACTCCTTCTCGTTCAGTTCTTATCGCCCGACAGTTGCAAATTTATATGCGCCAGCTTCCTCAAAAGCCAGTCGAGAGTGCCGAGAGAATTATATGCTGCCAAGCATTTAAAAACGCATAAATGTATTTGCCGGCGCGCACTCACATAATGGAAAATTTATGAACTAACTGCAGCTGAAAAAAGAATTAATTGCCGAAGTAAAACAAAAACTTGGACTGTGCAAGTACCAACCAAATTTGTGTCAGCTGCAAAACTATTAAAAAGGCATCTCTGGGAAACAGCCATAACGAAGCACCCACAAATCGAGCAGCTCTTGAAACTGGAGCAATTCCTAGAGAACCCCACCTGCATTTCCGCTGGCCTGGCCACAAAAGCAACCTCCTGCAAAAGGAGGAGCCGAAAACCGAAGCTGACTTCCTGTTTTGTGCCATGCCTCAGCGTTGCTCCGACGATGCTCCGAAAATGCGGAAACGTCCATTTTATAGCGGAAATATATTCTTATGCGGAGACGCGGTGATGATTTATGTATGTTTTGGCATTACGTGCTCTTTACCAGTGCAGCTTTTGTGCACCCATTAGACCCTTTGTGTGCGTTTCGCATTAAATTCTATATACTATACTTATAGATGGCAAACCACTGAATGTGAATGAAATTTAATTCTAAAAACTGCACTTTTTATGGTTACCTAGTAACCAGGTTATTGCTCTGGTATGCAGTAAAATAGTTGTTTTCCAATTGAAACTAAAAATGGAAAATTTTGATCTGTTGGCAGTTCGTCTGTGTCTGGCTTTTGATAAAAACTTTACCTCATTTCCCAAACTTTATGGGTATATTTTGTACACCCACCCAACAGCCAACAGTTATCGGACGGAAGAAAAAAAAAATATCCACTGACAGAAATGGGTTAAGCTCATACAAATGCTGCAATTATTTGCATGCTCGAGTGTCGAGCATTTTTATTTGCCCCGCTTTTCGTATCCTGTATTTGTCGCGAAAAAGGGTATATCGAATTCTGCACATGTATGTAATAGTCAGCAAAAATAATATTAAATATGTGGAAATGTTTATATATAGCTTCATCGGATTAAATTCAATGCCAGAAAAAAATGAAAAGTAGCTAGGTTAGGAAAGAGAAAGAAAGAAAAAATGGTCGATTGGATTGGCCCCACTGAGTACGAGGTATCTTATTCACACGGCTATATGACTCTCCTTTGGCTTACGTAATGGTGGCCGGAATGGTAATGGGAAATAGGAGCTGCGACCAGAATGCGACACAAGAGGGATTTCCCCCAGTGCGTGTCTGAGCAAAGCCGCGCATAATTCAGGTTAAGTGCGCTTCATGTGCGTTTATGCTGACATTAAAACACTCACTCAAACACTCACATGCACTCTCAAATACCCCCATGCACACTCGTTCACATGCTAATACACTCAGGATGGCTGCGTGGTTGTTGCTTTCTCTATTACAACTGGAAAATTATAAACTTTTTTATTGGAGTTGAGAGCATGCGTGCGCAATGGCAAAATAAAGGAAAAAATCCAAAAATAATAACAAACTTTTTTGCCGGAGTAAATGCAAAACAAAAATTGTCGCACAAAGAGGAAAACTTGCTGAATTTTCCAACGAATAAAAAGTTGATGCTGAACCGACCCTCACCCTACGCCGTTAAGCATTGGAAAATAATTAAAAAGTTTTTCGTCGGGCTAATGGAAATTGAATTGCATGCTCGCCTTGAAGAATGGCCAAACTTCATTAAAATCCATGCTGAATAATTTAAAAACAAATGAATACAATTCGGGTTTGATTTGCTCGCTGGGCAGCAGTACTAAATGTCAAATGATGTCACAAGTTTTTGCGTGTTTCACCCAGCAACCAAATATTATAAAATATCTACTAATTTGCATTTGGATTTTAATTTTATTAAAGGCAAATCAAATGCTTTTTATGCGATAATTTGTTGTATTTTTTGTTGAAAATGTTCGACTATGGCTAAATGAACGATCATACGGTTAAAGCTTTTCAAATTAAATATTGTATTGCAATTTAATTTAAAAAAGATGAGATGGAACATGACAAATGAAAATAAACTGACCTTTTGGAATGTGAAATATATAATGAATTCCACATAACGCAATTTCCACGTTAACACGCTCCAACATCACCTCAAGGGGTGTGGGAAGGGGGGGACATCGCACCCATGGTCCTGAAACTGCAACCTCACCTAAAGGGTGTCCTGACTGGACCAGTTGGCATCACACGTCAGTTCACAGGACGTCGCCCACGCGTTGCATGCTTGGTTGCATTTTTTGGCAGCTCGCACGTGTTACCGCTCAACAGCTCCATCTTGCACCACACCATAGCTGCATGCGATTTTTAAAATGCCATTACAAAGGGTATAACTAATTTTTTAGAGCTTTGTAGTGCAAAGATGAAAGCAATTTGCATATGTACCTACATATATTTTTTAATCTGTCTTTCTGTAGACTTTCTGACTTTCGCTTAAATTTGTTCCCGCTAAAAATTATCTGTAAGTATTTCTTACAACAAAACTACCTTTTCAAGGGCATTTCAATCGTCGCTATCGAAATCCGAAATCTTTCTCCATTCTTTCCTGTTATTTTTCTTTCCACTCGCATTCGTTGGCTCTGACAGTGCACACGAGTGCCTGGCATAATGCATTTATAAAGGCCGCTGAACAATGCCAAGAGCGAGTCAGATAATTTCATTTTGCTCCTGTGGCTGGCCCTGGCAATGCCATTTACCGCTAACTGTTTGTTTTTCTTATATTTGGCAATGCTTTACATTTATTTTCGCGCTTACTCCAGCTCTCCCTTTCTTTTGATCTGTTTCTTTTTGTGGCCCTGTCATTAAGCTCGCATGTGCCGGGCTTTGGTTTGTACATGAAATTTTATGACGAGTGTTGTGCCGTGTCGCCTCCACACGAGCAGATAGCGGATCCGCTGACGGGGAACAGCAACAGGAGCCCCAACCAGAGAGACAGGCAGGCAGTCAACGCGAGAGACAGATGCATCAGACAGTGACACTGGCGTCTGCAGGTGAAGGCAAACAATGCAAATATTTGTATGCCCCCCATAACTATATAGCACATGGGTGTACTTGTATCGGAGGTGTATCTGCGGTGTCGTACTCGTATAAGGAGTGCCAAGAGCGCGATAAAAAGTAATGTCGCATTTTGTCGCCCATTGTTTGGCAACTTTAGCTGATGTCGGCATTGATTTTCCTTGATTTCTGCAGTTCAACAACAATCAGAGTGTTGTTATATGAAGACATTAGGGTTTAATGGCTAAGTCAACTGATATTGAAAGATGTGAGCTTGAATTGTAACAGGAAACTGAAACTGTTTTATTCGCTTAGAAAATTTTAAATATAGAATATTTGGGAATGAATGCCAAATGCTGTCAGATAGCTCGTTATTAAAGTTGCCAGGCCTCCAGGAATCCTCCTCCTGGATGTAAAATGCGCTAACCATTTCATGTTTTAATCTATAGTTCTTATCGATCTTATCTCATGATTCCTAGAGTTAACATTTTATTTCCTCTGACTAAAAACTTCTTTAAAAACTTTTATTTTACTGAACTTTGAGTATAATTTCCCTTATACATATACAGAGTTCCCAATATTTCAAGTTTCTGTAAAGAAAACTTCAGCACTGCTAATTAATATGAATGAAGTCCTCGCAGTCTGAGCGTAATTGCCGTCGCCTTTGCTTTAGCAACATTGTTCATAATATTCCACTTAGATGGTGCTCACTTTGGGCCTTGCTGTGGGTTCATGTAGCTCCTTTTTTGCAGACTCTATGTACACGTATATATGTATGTATTTCATTTTCTATGTAGTTGCATAATTTCAATATGTCCATACTGTTGCCAATAAAATTTGCAAAGCAGAAAAAGGCAATGGAAAAGTTTTGCCAAGGAAATGAACGATGCAATCATGTTTCCCTCACTCCGTCTCTGGGAGTGTTTCGCAGTTTTTGTTTTTATTCGTACTTTGCCACTTTGGGGCATGCAACAAACTTTATTAAAAAGTATGCAAGAAATTTTCGCATCTATACATTTGCGAGAATACCCACAGGGCTGCAGAGGTATCCGGTCGTAGCTAAAGTTTGGAAATGGTTGATTTCCCACCTCCTTTTCGCACTCCTTCTGTTTCTGTTTCTCCGTCTGCAGCCCGTTTTCCCATTTTCCTCCACAGATTGACATGAATTGGCAAAATGAAATTGCTGTTTCTTGTGATAAATTTCAATGAACATTTTTGCCAAGGCGCAAACATGAAGTGAAAGTACGGGCCACGGCAGGAATTTGCATCCGTTGAGTGCAGTTTTGTGTGTGGCCCGAATAACAGGCTGTGAGGCATGCTAAGAGCCAGTTTGGAGCAGAACGAGTCCCCACATAAATTGCCTGGCAAATAAATTAAAAAGTGTTCACAAATGGTTGAGCTTTCTCATACAATATGATAGATAGTTGCATGAAATTAAAAAAAAAAAACCATATATTTAGAGATGACTTTGCCATCACATCATGTGAGTGTTTGTTGTTCGGTTTATATATAGTACTAGTAGACCCGAAATTAAACAATCATAATCAAAAGCAACAAATATACTTAAACAAATTGTTTATTTTTGATACAAAAGGGTATAACAAAAAATCTATCATTAAATGTTCTGTTCTACAGAATGGCACAAAATGAAATAAAATATGCGTTCAAACACAAATTTAAAATTTTTTTGATTCATTTTTAATTCGTGAGGAACCTATTTATAGGTTGTATAGAAACAATGCCACATTTTCTGGCTATCATTTAAAATAACAGCATGCAAATTGGGGGTGGGGGTCGCATTGCGGAGATAGCCGCTTGCACACAGATTTTTGTCTACAAATTTATAGTATATAATATAATATATACAGAACATATTTGGGTTATATTAAATATTCCATCTTTCTATAGTATGATAGCCTGGTTTGAATTTTTTCCTCTTAATCTTTTCTCTCGTTATTTTTAATATTGACAATTCTTTTTAAAGGAAATGTGTGAACGTAATGGCAGGAAAAACTGTTTGAGTTGTTAAGAAAATAAAACGCACGGCTGCACTGTTTTTCTTGTTATGCAAATGAAATGGCAGTGGCAGCGGCCATGGCAGCCATTGGCAATGGAAAAACTTGGCCTTAACTTTTCAATTTCCATTTTACGCGATGGAGACAGCTGGCCCGCCCCGACCAAACCCAACCAGTGCAATTAACAAGCTATTAACTAGAGTATGCCCAGGACTTAAACCTTTGTCGCTATCCGTATCTCTTCTTGCAGTTGTCGTCTTGGGCAATCACCATGAGAGTCTTTCGTTGAGTCCGGCCGAGCATAGCGTTGTGCGCTACACAAATGAATCCCTCATTGTGCAGTGCCGGAGTCCCGACCCGGACGTAAAGCTGCATTGGAAATCGCCGAAAGGGGACATTATACGCGAGCACAAAGGACGCATCCACATTGAGCAAACATCGCCAGGTGAGAATCGGGGTCAGTGTGGGGTTCTCGATAGATAAAATCGAGCAAAACACTAAAGGCAGGGGCGCCCGATGGACATGGGGCAAGAGTAAACAATGCCACAAGCACAACAACCGCAATTAATTGCAATTCCATTACTTTCCATCTGAATATTCGAACCTGAAAGGGAATTCACAAAGTCCCACGAGAAAGGGGAACAAAATATTCCTTTCAAAGAAACTTCAGAGCGATTTCAAATTCTTGTGTACTCTTTTAGTTTTAAAGTACATTTAAAAAGTGCAACAGAGCATCAATTTAATCCTGTTTACTAATCTGTCAGTAGTACTTTCAAGCTAATAGATAACGCTTTGATTCCCATTTAGTTTTGGCTACCAATGGGTATCCCCCTCGTCGTCTCTTCATCAATATTTATCCTCTTTTTGTTTTACTTTATGCTTTCGGGCTGTGGCCTTTGTTTTTTCGAACCCCGTTTAACCCTTTTCCAACATATATTCTATACACAATTTATTCTTTTTTATTTCTCGTGCTCGTTTGCTTATTCTCTTTTTCTCCGCTGCACAGAACAATTGAAAATCGTTTTCGCCCACATCGCACTGGCGGACAAGGGCAATTGGAGCTGCGAAGCTGCTGAGGGTGGTCTGCATAGTAAATCCTTCGATTTGATTGTATATCGTAAGTGCTGGAATCGCCCACAGGGAGTCCAAACTGGTGGGGCAGTCATTAATATTGCATTGTTTTCTTGACCCACACAGAGAAAATTACATTCACGGAGAACGCCAGCGTGATAACCGTAAAAGAGGGCGACAAAGACAAGACCATATTGTGCGAGGTGAAGGGCGAACCGCAGCCAAATATCACCTGGCATTTCAATGGACAACCCATTAGTGCGGACAGTAAGTTGGACGACGATAATGAGCTGTGCATTTACACGACTTCAAATACCCAACGTACAATTTTACCTTTTCCATTTCGTCCATTTCTCCCCGATTCCTTGGGATCGAATTCAACCCTGTAGCGGCAGATGGCTCCAAGTACCGCATCCTGGCCGATGGTTTGCTCATCAACAAGGTAACACAGAGTGACACCGGCGAGTACACGTGCCGGGCATACCAAGTGAATTCGATTGCTTCCGATATGCAGGAGCGCACAGTTTTGATGAAAATCGAACGTGAGTGTGATTTATGATTTCCCAACAAGAGCCATGGCACACTGGGACCAGGTGATGGGACAACAGCGATCATGAGATCATAAGAAAAGTTTTCCACAATGTTTGCAGCACCATCTTGTCCCAGTGTGCAATATTTTGGGGGCTTCCAGTGAAATTACTTGAGCGTCATGCTATTTCTTTTTTGTGGGGTGATGGCTATGAAATTTGTGTGTGCTCTTTATATGCGCCGCATTGGGCGGTAAATAGTTTTTGAGCACGAAAAATGCTGGAATTACATTCGCTTAGAGCCGCTTTTTGATGAATGCTGATACTCGCTGGCGGGGGTCCGTGTGCCCTGGTCAGCCAGTGGGCGTGGCACACATGCAGCTAATGGCTTAACTTGCCCAAAGAGCCCCGCAGCGAGGCTGTGATTTATGGTGGGCGAACATGATTTTTCCATTTTCCTGCCATACCTTTGAGCGCCACTTGTCAGCTGTCAGCAGACCCCATCCTCACTGCAGTAGACCTCAGGCTCAGGCTCAGGCTCGCTGCAACGGACCTCAGCTTCTGTTCAGATTACTGCAGAGTTGTTGGTAGAATTGAATTAAAACAAGCTATAATTGATTCCGCACAGACAAACCATTTTGGACGCACAAACAGTTCGTGAGCATGCAGTTTGCGTACATCAACGGGACAGCGTCCATCATGTGCGAGGCCCAGGCGGAGCCGCCGGCCACCTTTACGTGGCACCGGAAGCAGAAGCGGCTGCACAGCAACGAGCGGCTCTACACCATCGAGGGAGACCACTACTGGTCCCGGCTGACCGTCCATGTGCTGAACGCCAGTGTATTTGACAACTATCGCTGCCGGGCCACCAATCACCTGGGCAGCATTGAGCGGACCAAACGTCTGGAGCAGGGCGACAAGCCCCCATCGCCAATCACATTCCAGCTACGCGGCTTCAACTCGAACACCTTCGATGTGGATGTTAGTGCCCCGCGGGGACCCGAGGACCGCGGACCCATGGAGGTGAACGGCTTCCGGATCGAGTACATGTCCGAGTCGGAGTTCAAGTCGGATGCGGGCAAGTGGACCAATGCCAGGCGCAAGGACTTCCCCTTCGAAGAGGGTAAGTGATACGAGTGCGAGTATGTCGAGACCCTCAACATAATGCCTGTCACACGCTTCACTCCGCCCGACAGGTGCCACTTTCCTCCTTACCAACCTGGAACCCGACACCAACTACCTGATGAGGGCCGCCTCCCGTAATCTTGCCGGCTTCAGTGACTTTACCAAAGTGGAGAAGTACAAGACGCTGTCACTGGAGCCGCGCGTGTCTTCGGCGCTGCCCCAATCCACACCTCTATGCTTCGCTTTGATGGCTATGATGTGTCTGACACTACGGCTGGGATATTGAATCTGTATCTGCAGGCGGATGACGGATAATGGATGAGAGATGACGGATGACGGTTGATGGATGACGGATAACGTTGGACGGGTGATGCACCTAGCGGAACCGTGGCGAGCCCTTTGCCCCCCATGTGCTTTGTTTAGCTTTAAGGCGTGTCCGTGTGGGCACATTTCTGTCTGATTTGCTTGGCCTAAGTTCTTGGTTTATCCGACTGTTGATACAACCCAAAAACCAATGTTTTAGTTAAGTTTAGTACGAGTCTCTCATTAGCTTTGAACTTGCTTAAGGATTATAACTATAGTTGAAAAGGAAAAATATTTATGCAGAACATATAGAAATATTTATATTTAAAAAAAGTCCTCATAGTGCTTAAATGGAATACCAAAGTTCAACTTTAGATTTGCGATGCAGGGAACCAGAAGCTTCTCACAAATCTACCAACTGAACCCTCTATCTTCCCGGCTGCCCAACATTTTTGGGTATGCAAATCTGGAAATAAATCTTAGCTGAATATTAATCCAAAAAACCAAAAACTTTTCTTCCTTGAGCTTGAGCGTTGGCGCCTAAACTAGATTTTGTTGCCAAATCTTGAGGATATAAACAAAAAAGTTGCCAAATCGCAAAGATATATACCAAAAGTTGCCAAAAAAAAAAAAACATAATATATTCTACATAAGCCTTTAAGAGAAGAGATTCCAACTGATACAAACATTCCACTGAACATTTTTCTATGTATGTAAGAACACTAGACTCATAAACTATACAATAAAACAAATATAAATTTAATCTTCCTCTAAAGATATTTAAAAGTCTCATCACTGCAAACTCTCTCCCAAAAGATACACCGTGAGCGCATCAAACAATAAATACCAACAACACAGAGCTTAAAAAAGCATTTGAATATTTATATTACATATACCGGAGCAAAACCAACATTTCCAAGAAAAACATAAATTTAAATCGTAAAATATGTGTGCCACAATGAAAAGGGATGCCAAATATCGTATACCACATTTTGTGGCTAAAATATTTCAGCCTTAATGAATAAAAACTCTTCAAACTCATGGAAGAGAAATGTAACCTAGCCAAAGATTAAATGTTTTGTGGTTATCGTGTAACAATTGTGTGTGTGAGCCAAAATAAAAATTATTATGAATACCGAAAATAAATGTTGTACTTATACTCTATATATTGTGGCAAAAATATAAAATATTCCGCATAGAAATGGCAAAGAGCTAAATGAAGTGAGTATGCATAAATACATACCTACATTTTGAATAGCCTTTTGTATGGATATTATAATTTCCATTGATTTCCACAAATATAAACTAGAATCGGATTGGCCTGTTTCTACACTTCAAATTGTATTTGTGTCCTGTTTCTCTGTCATTTTAAGCAACGTTATCAATTTCAGTTCAAATAGTTTTAGGTACCCATTGTGTAAATTGTTTGTTTTTAATTTTGTTCTAATTTTTTTTAATCATGGACAATCCATGCACAAAGTCTATGAGTGCTCATGGTTTATGTGTTTCGTATGAAATTAAAGGCAAAAAGCATAGTAAATATCATTCAGAATGGTTGCAGCTTTATAAGAGGTGTGACTGTCAAATTGTATTGTAATGGCAACTTACCCATTTTCTTCATTCAGAGGAGGCTGTGCAACCAAACCAGGCTCGTCCAAGGGATTTCAGGTGGGTAAACTTGGGGACCATGACAGAAGTCATCAGTCATCAGAGGTATATGACGATGACTGTTTTCGAAACATTAATAAACCATACAAAAATGGATCAAGCCCAGTCTTGTGTAAGTTGGATACATAACCAAAGGTTTGAAAGTGATTATAAAATGTTTGCTTTTAGTTTCTAAAACTATCTATGCCCGATACAAGGCAGCTTTGAAGCGCGCAAAGGCTTTTTCAGCTTCCACTGATCCGAAAAACCGAGGAGATAGAGTTACCCATCCGCGTATTTCCGCTGGCGCTTCCAGCAATATTAATCCAAACTCATATACATGCCCAGGTATAGTCATACCGCCCTACAAGACCGCTGTACCTGTCGAGTCTCAGTCAAGTTTTAATCCGGTAGCAAAAAATCCCTCGTCTGCTACCACCCAAGGCGAAATGTTTCAGCTAAGCTGTGGATGTTTTGAACTGAGGCCAGTAGCAAAACCCATTGACGCTTCGAACAATAATCTGGGTCTTGCGAGTATTAAAGTTTGCAAAGAACCAGAGCCGCAACCCAAAACAGAGCCACAATCCGATGCAGTTACACAACCGGCAGCAGGGCCGATTTCTGAATCCTCGAATCTTTCATACTGTACGTGTCCTCCTCCAACACCTGCAACTGAACCAAAATCTGGAGCCCCCACCACTAGTCAGAAAATCAAATCAGCTATTCATTGCCATTTGTGCAAGAGACCTATTATAGTGGTTCCCGCGGGGGAAGGAGTACCATTGCCACACTTTAAGCATGGCATCAAGCCGAAGAGTAATGAAATTGCTCGTCAAACACCGTTCCAATCAAAGACCATACTGAAGTCAGATCAACGAATCGATAACGTAAAGATAAAACCAGAGAAAACACCTTCCAATATCCAGTTTTCACTGACAAATTTATACACAGAGAACCTACAGGACCTTCCTTCGTGCTCATGTCCACAGGTACACACAGGCACACAGGTAGATCACCAGACGCCTCCTTCCGAGCTTGCGTTAATGTCGGAAATATCCAAGCAGTTGTGCGAGCTGAACAAGAAATTGGATATATTGCAAAGGACAGAGATATTCGATATACGCCATCAGATGGATACCCTTAGCGCCAATGTGCAGTCGCTGAACCAAAAGTTTCAGGACAAGGAGATGAAGACAGAGTCGTCTGAGTGTGTTTGTTGTGCAGCAGAGCAGAAGAAAACCCCAAAGAATATGCAGCCTTCCTCAAGCAAAAATGCGATGGAGGTTAAGGATCGCTCATCGAGTGATTGCGAGTTCTGCAAGAATAAGAATCTACCAGTTCTGAACAGTTTTCACAAACAGCTTGTCGCGCTGATTGGTAACCTCAAATTCAGTGAGGTTTTGATGTCCATTTTGCTGCGGCGCGACAATGTCTACCATGTAAGGGTGCAGGATATGATCCACGATAAAGTCCTGGGCTGTTTCTTGGTAAGCGATGCTGGCATCGAGGAGGCCATCAAGCTAGGTGTCTTCGAGCAGACAATGACATTCAGTGTGGTCGATGTGCGGAACACGCTCAAGCCAAGAAAAGGCGCCCTGGGCATTGCTTTCGAGTTCTCCAAGGAGGAGCGACAAATCGGTGGCTGCGATACTGAAGGGGATATTAAGTTGGAGCCCCCTACCGAGTGTGTTGCGGAGACAGATACCTGAAGGACTAAAAAAACAAATTCTTGTTTTATTTCAGATCATTTCATAGTAGTAATTTTATTGGACACTAAACATTTCACAGAACTCCATAGAATAAATGGTATATCTAAGTACAATCCGTAATTGTCGTGTTCCATGGTTAGCAGAGAGTTTAATAACTGGAGTGTGTGCAACTCGTAGATACATCTCCGCAAATGCAATCAAACCAAGTGGCAATATTGACTGCCTCACCTTTGTCAGTGTCTGCCGTCGAACAAAAGCAATTTTTGATTTGTTGCACCGAACCGGACCAGAGGCCCCGAGGTGCGGTAGGCCCAGGACATCCCACAGGCGCCAGACCATCAGACCTCTAGGCCGCCCGACCGCATGTCAAACTGTTCATTTTGGCAAACAGCGGTTTGTCAATCACCCACGTCAACTGGGGCTCAACCAAAGGCCCGCATATGTCTGTCTCCTCTATGGCGGTATGGGGACGCCCGGTACGAGTACTCGTATAGACGCTGCCATTGCTGACAGCCGCATAAATCAGATGAATGCCAAGCGACGGCTGCTGATTCAGATGCTGATGCTGATGCGGATGCATCTGTGGCTCCGATGGCATATTGTGCGCACTGACTTTTATTGCCAGACCGCGCGTTAAATATTTTCTCTGCACCCATTCCTATTTACCAGTCTACACATACACATAGACAGAGCCATGGATGCGTCTCATCAGCAGCAGAATCGGAATCCGCATTTACCATTCGCGTCACAATGAACCCTCAACAATAGAAGCTTACGTTATTTAGTCGGAAAATAGGCGCGGTTCAACACAATCTGCCCGCTTCTTAATTCCACGCACATGCACACATTTTGGAAAATTGTTTTGTATTGGCAAAACATCAGCTAAGATTGAATTTTAAAAGCGGATCGTCTGCTTGTTAGTAGGCTTGTATAGTGGGTGAGTGCGATATTTACGAGTACTTTCTGATGTTTTATGATTTAAATTTCAGCTGTAAATATCTACTAGCTTACAAATATCTTTGTGTTTCATTTTAAGAGGTATTCTCTGGTTTATTCTCTGAAATGTCCAGCCTTTATTTTTCTTTATCAGACCGCGGTCTTAGAAATTATACCTAAAGGTTCGTTTATTGTTTTTTTATGTTCCTTGTGAACTTTGATCGTTCAACTACTCTATGCCAAAAGTTAACTCTTTAAACCAACTCTGCCCAACAAAAAGCCAAAAGAAAAATCCATCTGCCGCGAAAAAACAGCATTCGGCCATTTCAGGCATTAAACCGCCCACTCAGGTCAGGCACCGCGCAGGCTTTTAGACCAAATCGACGCTTGGCCCCAGTTTATTTTTCCGTTCGCCATCCAAAGCCACTCGAGAGAGCATCTGCAACTGGCGCTGTCGTGTGTGAGTCTATTCGGGCAATGCAATTTCCATGTCAGCGGCCGCTTTTTCTTTTTCCAATTGTTTTTTGTTTTTTTATTTCTCGTCATCGTCGTTTCATTTGGCTTATCGATAGTGCAACATTCAACAATTTTCACCCGCATAGCGGCTGGGCTTTAAATTGAAATCACGTGCAAAACGGAAAAAAAACAGACTTTATTGTCTGAACACTGTTATATTAGAAAACGGAATGAGTTCTGAGGTGAGCCGCAAGAATGACTTATTGAAAATAGACACAAACATATCTGTATTTTGATTTAAAAATAAATCAAAAATAAATTATAATCAGTCTTAATGAAGAGACATGTACTTTCAAATACGTCTGTAATCCGACTGACTCCTGCTATTAGGAATTGCAATCAGAGCCTCATTATCCCGAGCATGTTACACACGCTGTTCAAGATTTACCACTCGGCCAGTCCTTGTGTCGGGCTGACGATGACCCTCCACCGGACGGATGCTTTGTGCCGCCCCTCGCCGTGTCAATAAATGAGCGCCGGGCATTAAATTGTAATTTTTTAATTACACACAAAAGATTTAATGACTGCTGTGGTAATAACACACAACAGACGTTGCCACGCCCCAGTGGCCTGGCCGCCTTTGAGGGCACAAAAGCAGCAGCTCCGCTTTTGCCGTGCAGCTAGCGCGGAAAAGTATGCAACGCTTAATTACATAAACGTTGCTGCCCCGAAGCCGAAGTTGAGCCGGGACGGGGACTTGACTCTCCCATCCATGCACAAGAAAAGTCCCCGCACAGACGGAAAACTGAGAGAAATCTCTCGAGCTGGAGTGCTACATCGAGATAATAAGAAAATGGGGAAAATTAAATTGTTTTTCTGTGCGCGCGCCAAGTGACCAATTAAAGCGAACAGCAAAAAGTCCCCGAGTCGAAGCTGGAGCAACAGCCCCCGGACTGGGACTCTACATCCTCGGAAAATGGTTCTCCTTTTTGCTTCCTATACTTCTACTTCTACTGCCTCTGCTTCTGCTTATTAGCTACTGTGATTTGCTTGAAGTACGAGTATTTGTCCCACTGACTGGAAGTAACCCGTCTTTAGCCTTGTCTGTTTGTTTAGCAATAAAAATCGTTTTGCTCCTGCTAATGATGCCACAGCAATGCGGCGGCTGGCTAAATTAGCGCTATGGGCCTTTCAGCAGTCAACAGTCAAGAGTCGTAGAATATGCTGTTTCTTATCCAGCCCATAAACCACCATTGCCCCCGCACAGTCGTAAATAAAACTTTCTCTAGAACTAGCTAATATGCCAGAAGTGGGGGCCACACAAATCTTCTATAAAGTAAATGCGCTCGCTGCATTGGAATCCTGTTACCGGCTCCTCTAGACTCCTCTTGGCTGGTTTTGCTACTTTTGCCGGCCCTGGCTGCTCTTGTTGCCGCTGTTGTTGAATGTTTTTCGTGTGTTTGCTGTTTGTTGCCAACACACTAATTACCGCAATTAATTATGCTGCCTTGGGGAACAGAGCGGTGTGGAGCGGAGTGCAGTGCAGTGTAGTCCAGGACTAGTCCGGAGCAGGCCCAAAGCTAAAGCACGTCCAATTCCTGGCTGGCAGGATGATGTCGTTACTGCTGCCATTGTTGCTCGAGTGGGAGGTAGGCTTCCCTTTTGACTCCAACTTTAACAGAGGCTATATACAAGTGGGTATACATACGCGTATGTGCATGGGTTTGGGTTTGGGTTTACACCCTGTGTATTCCTGTGTGCACATTTTAAACAGCTTTTACGCGTTTTGTGCTTCGGTCTCAAAGCGCATATCAAATGCTTTGCTGGCCATCCGCACCACCCACACACACACACACACAGACAGAGAGAGAGCAGCGCGGCAATTTAATTCTCTTAGCCAAACGATTTTAACCACATTACAAAAATTGCTCGTTTTCGCCGTTTGAGCGGTTCCAATTGAATGCTAATTAAATGTAAAGTGATTAAAATAAACCAGGTTATGTTAAGCTTTTTAAGTTAAAAGTGTAGAAAGGAAATGAATATGGGAATACATTTTTAATGTTGTTTTCTTGTATTAATCTGTAGGTACGACTCATTGGTCCAAAAACCCGCTAAGCCAGGTGATATTCATACATAGACATATCCAGTTCTGAGATTCGAATCGGCATGTAGGCGTTGGCGTAATGCATTTACTTCCGTTCATTTTACATCCGTTTTCTCTTTTCTGACCAAAATCCACTTAACATAATTCAATGTAAGCTTCATAAAACAAAAGCCATTATTAAGCTGAAAAAATACGCTTTACAGTTTAATGTGAATCAAGAATTTCTGATTACCAAACGCGTATTTAATATTGTTTAAAAAAGCCATTAATAAATACGAGATTAATTAAATATTTACGAAAAATAATTTCCATGGTTATGTTTTGGTACATTGATATAAGTAATAAGTAAATAAGTATATTTCTACCCTTAAAGAACTTTGCGACATAAAATCGGTGACAAATAATATACAATATTTCATAAAATTCAGATTCTGCGGTCCCAGGCTTTATTTGCTTCAAATATTTCAGCATACGGCGATTGTCCGACATGCAACAGAGCATAGTCATGAATATCCCCTCAAAATATATACAAAATCCTATCGAAAAAGTATCCATTATCACTTACACACGAGTATATGCAGGCAAGGCAAGTCTCCAATGATACTTTAAGCCCTTTAAGTGGCGAGTGCACTCAAGTTCAGAGATTTTCCAATGAAATTTCCACATTTCAATACCAGTGCCCATTGCGAAATCACTAAGCGGCCATTAAGCAAATCAAAGAGTGTCACGAGTATTGCAGCAGCGGAGAAACAATTTTGCACCCGGCGATGACTCCACGAGCAAATGGCAAAACATGCATGAAAATTGAAAATTATGTTTGAAATGCACTCAGTGTCAACAGCAAAGGCAACAGCTGGAGCCCCCACAGAGCCGGAACAGCGGCAAGAGCGGAGGAGAAAAGACTTCCATATGCTGTTCTGACTCTGCCACGTTTGTTTCTGTCAACGCAATGAAGTGCAACACATCTATATAAGTGAGTGTGTGTGTGTGTGCTTGTGTCAACACACGATACATGCATATGTATGTTCATACAAACAAGCACCTTGAAGCCACTTCATATTGTAAATTTGGTAGAAAATATTTTTAGTGTCGCAAGGATATCCGCCATGGCTCCCACCTCTGCTGATACTACACTTCTCCCCCCATTTTGGATCGCTTCCGACTCCTGCATGGACTCGTTCTCCGTCTCCTGTTCTGGCAGGAACTGCCTTTGTTGGTTGCTTACATTTCTGTATATTGTAGCGGCAAGTGCTGTTGCTACTCCTACTCCTTCTCGTGGGTCTTGCACTCCTGGCACCTGTTTGCCTGTGCACCTTTTGTGGTCTCCTGATGTCCTGGAGTGCTTTTGTATGCATCCTAATGCAATGCTTGTTACTGCGTTTGTTTGATTGCTTCCGCAAGCAATCCTGCCACAGTGTGCTCGCTCTGATTTGTACTATTTAATTACTACAAAATAGTTAGCATATTGACTGTCAGGGGACTCTGTTACACTTTGTGGGACAAATGGCAAAGCAGGTTTAATTATGCGATTGTTTTGAATAACAGATGGACAGCCATGAGAAGTGAGTATAATTTTCTCCAAACGGTTGCGCATTGAGCTCCTTTATAAAACCTCAA